CCCTGCGGATACAACACACCCCCGCACGGTGCTACCGCTGTCTCACGCCCTCGAGATACGACAAACAAAACAGATAGGGGAAATAGGATAAAATATCAACAGGGTCGGGGAACAACGGGCTGCTAGCGCCTCACCATCCCCCGCTGACCGGGCCCGCCGCCACGCCTACAAACAAAAACCGAGGGGGATAGCCCTGGCTGCCCTCGACCCCATCGGTTCCTTCCACGACGCTCTGCTTCAGTTGCTGCGCCGATGCCCGCTGGCCTCCATCCTCAAACCTCCGTTGTAATAGTCCGATGCCGTAATCTATAGGGCTAAGCCCAAGCCTGAGACCAAAACACGCCGGGTGCCATATAAGAGGGTGCGGCGCTGCGCTTTGGGCCAATAAAACGGCTGCGCGGCTCTCAATGCCCGCGCAGGATCGCTTATACCGTGCCATAATTGCCCCGTGCGCCATCCTACGACACCCCGCTCACCGCACAAAAGTCGCGCCGTTGTTGCCGATGTCGTCGTCGGGGTCGTTTTCCGCAAGCGCGTTCGACTCGGTCAAAAGTACCAATCAAAAGAAAATATCCTTAATTCGTGCTTAATAAAAAATAAATAATAAATAATATCACCTAAGCAAAACGACCGAGGTCCAAGCCGACTCTTACGATCAACAACAGAAAAGAATCACGGGCGCCTTAAACCTGCGCGCTCACGCACTCGCTATTGTGGTCAACCACCCAGTCAACGCAATTTTAGACGCAACCGCACTTAGCAAGGTATACTTCAACTTTAAACCAAAACTGTTTTCTGTCACTTGCAAAAAAAACAGGGCGGATACCCTTGTAAGGGTATTCGCGCCGACAACATCGTGCTACCCAGCCTAAAACATTTTATTATTTTTTGAAAAATTTTTAACGAGTTTTTTAGTAAATGAAGTACACATCTGTAATTTTTCAGAGCAAGTGGTTGTGCTTGAAAAAATTGGTGTCGATGGATTTTTTTTCACACTTTGCATTTGCACGTATAGTAAGTCAAAACGCAAGTAAAAAACGAGGTCGACAGGCCAATGTCTTTCAACATCGTTGTAAACAAGCAAATTGACAAAGTACAATCATTAGAATATTACGGTACAACCATCTGTCCACACACCCTAGAAACTGCCGATACGTTCCACAAAACCCATACTCACAGTCTGCTAGAGCTACTATTAGCATTCGCGGGGTCGAGCGACCCGTAAGAGGACTAATTAATCGTACTTACCGTAATTATAGATGTAGGTCCGTCGCAAAAGTACCGCGTCCCAAGACTTTTCGCAAAAGGAGAACAACACTGATATCGGCTAGTTCCGGTACCAGGCTGGTAGAGCTACCGGGGTTGCTAACTTAGTCCAGATCAGTCTCAGGCTCGAAGGTATCCGAAATAGTAACGGTTCGAATCCCTCGCCCAGATAAACCTGAAAGTTTGCCCTACTGTTGTAGAAAATCACTCACAGTCACTAAACATTTTACAAATTCGCCCGCTAGCCCTGTTCGAAAATCAAACAGTGAGCCCCATCCGATCATTCGTAAAGCACTATAGTAACTAGCATTCATTCCAAGCAAATGCTGAAAAACACATATTCCTAAACCATCGCTAACCTGAGAACCCCTCAACTTCTGAATCCACTTGCTACTACTAGGAAATTCACAGATTCTACCCAGTTTAGCCCCGTCTGCATTACAAATCAAATGCTAAATTCACACATTCCCAAAACATCGCTATCCTGAAAACCCCCATCTGCACTGACTAATTCCTCAGACAAATTAATGTGAAACCATGTAAACCATAAAAACCCGTGGCTACCGTTCCTAGCTTCCAGTGAGCATATTACGGTCTTCTTCCAAATCTCGTCTTTGCAGAAAGCAAATCCTCGCAGAATTCTCCTAAAGAAGTCAATAGGAAAGTCTTTAATCCTCAACTCCCGCATCAGTGAGAGTACTCGTCCGGGTATTTCGCTGCGGATTGACGTATTTTGTTCAATACAGTGCAAGTAGCTACTAATAGTAGCACTCTTCTGTTGTTTGCTTCCCGGAGACAGAAATGACTGCCAGTTCTGAAATTCCAATTCTCCAACAAACCAAATGCTTCGTTCGTTCCGTGACAGCTGAGCACAACCTGGGTAAAGATAAGAGTTCTTGCACCGTACTTCGCATCCCAAAAACTGCAGGATACCTGAGCCATCATCCGTCGGTTTAAGATACAGGTTCTTTGGATAACAGATTGAGAATCGATTCAAGACCCATGTTAACTCCTCTCGGGACAAGGATGCCGTTACCAGGATAACGTCATCCAGGAGCCGTACTCCAAAAACTTGTGGAGCGTACCTACCCAATCCGCTCAGGAACAAGAACTCAATGTATGCACATAGCACACAGGCTAGTGGAGGACTTAAGGATTTACCCATTGGTATCCCCATATCCTCTCTCAATAAAAACCCCGTTGCATAGGTGTAAGTGTGTGACAGCTCAATGCGTACAAACATCAACAGTTCCCTGAACTCCAACTGACGCCAATGGTCCGCTCCTGTAGTCTTCCTGAACGAACATCCTTTACCTCTAGAGTTGGTCGCCACAAAACATCGTCCTTTCTTATGATGGAAATTAATAAGCCACCCAACAACTTTCAGAATATTTGGGTGCGTAAGGCGGCTGAACATATCCTTAATATCAAAGGGTTGGGCCCCCAGACTCGAGGGTCGTTTGAGATGACATACTTGTACATTAATCCGATCAATCCTCGTGGTCAACTGTGAGACAGCAGGCAGGTTGAAGTGGCAATCTCGTGGTAGTCTGGATAACATATAATTCAATTTTTTAGCGACTATCCTACCTGTGCGTACCATAGGTTCAACATACGTAGGGCAGATCGGGCGATATCGGGTCAAGTCTTTATGTTTTGGAATAACATAAGCAGATCCTATACGCCCTTTACCATCCCATCTTGCAAATTTCCTCAAACCTGTTGCATACACATCTTTCCTGATTTCTCTCAATACTTCGTATTCCTCGACCTGAATGATCTTGTAACCTTGGTTCAAGACAAAAGTCTGCATCATGGCCTCTTAGTAAATCTTAGGGCACATGACTACAGTCTCCCCTGGGTTACGGTCAAGGGGGGTCAACACAAGACCTTCAAATTTCTTCTTCGTCGTAGACACCATATCCATTGTGAGGACAATAGACTGGTACTCGCTACAATGCATTGCACAGTTAAGCAACATATTATCTGTAATCCTTGGTACCTTCCCAAGAAAATTCCTCCTGCTTTGGAAGCCATCTCGTATCTCACATTTCAAATTCTGCAAACGATCAGCAACATGCACCTTAGGAATATTGTTAGAATTAGCTAGCAAGGGATGATCCACTACGTCCCTGTTCATGCGAAAGTGAACATGCCCATCCACTTTTGGATAGGGTAGGCCTGCGCATTGGCACGTCAGCACCTGTCAAGATGCAAAGGCTCGATAGTTGTGCAGTAATTCACCAACCGTCCGATTTTTAGTACTGACAATACGAATCTTCGTACGTGCACGCTGCAAAAAATAGGTAGGCGATCGCACCCCATCACCAAATCGTTCACAACCTGACAAAGTTCACACAAACACAATCTGTCATCATATTCACTCTAATCAACAAGTTCGCGCTGAGGCTGAGGCCAAACTTCTGCAAAACCACTCGCGAAATCAAGTGGCGGAGGTATTTTCTGGTTGACTTTCGTGTAATATCTTTCAGTACTCGGTAGAGGCGCAGGATGGAGCGCATACCCCATTGATAAATCCTTGACAACTCCTTAGGTTTTTTCAGTAGCGAAATCAGTATTTTCTTCAAGTAGCTACACTGCGGCTTCCATAGTCGCAAGTAATCGATCTTGAAGGACCCTCCCCCTTCGATCCGCTCCTTACATCCTTTCAAAAGTAAAGACACCTTGCCAAATGACACCTTGGAAGACCCGAAAATCTTCATGTTGCTCTTCTACGACGCATGTCAAAGGTTCCCCCCGGTGGTATTCACCTCAAAGCTACGCAAGCCTCTTCCCTCCTGCTCCTTGAGGATCTCAAATAAATTCAAGCGCAAGTCTTCGGTCTCATGCAGGCGGAATCTCAGAGGTGCGATCGTACGATAGTTCCTGATGTATGCTTACCTGATCTAGCTCGCTCGTCCTTTCCCTTACATCCGTTACTACCCGTGCTCCTAGGCGACTTCTTGACACCTGAGGTATTAAGGTATGGAGACCACTGACGTATATACATGTTTTCCAGCTTTGCGAGCTCATCGTTAGTTATTGAATCTACCGGAATAAGACATACTTTCCAACCCAGTAAAACGACCAATTTGTCAAAATTGACATCTTTTATTTTTTGAACGAAATTGAAACTGAGTTTTTTGGTCGAAAAGTCGTCAAAATTTGTTGTTCCTGAGGGTCCAGCGTTTTACAAACACTGGACCCCTTGCCTGTACATGGACCTAGCTTGAGACCAGGCATCTCCTGGTAGGACTGCCTGGAGGTACCTGGTGTCAAGCTAGGTCCATGTACAGCCAAGGGGTCCAGCGTTTGTAAAACGCTGAACCCTAAGGAACAACAAATTTTGGCCTGTTTTCGACCAAAAAACTCGGTTTCAATTTCGTTCAAAAAATAAAAGATGTCCATTTTGACGAAATGGAAGTTGTAAAAGCTCAACTATCGATAAAATGATAAGGTTTTTTTGTACGACAACCATATAGGTGCTCCCTTCAACACACGTCTAGGTGTCCCAACGTCTTCCCCACATACTGGGATTTGCAGTAAGGTGACATTGCCACGTAAACACAATCAGAGATTTTAACAAAGTCTGGACAATAGACGTCATATAGACGCAACCAAAACATCTACACATTTACAAGTCCACCGGAGTACTCCCGAGAAGGATAAGCGTACGATCACTAATCGGAACAGTTCCTCCACACCTGCATCTACGGACTTGCTCGTTGATCTCCACTTCGTAAGGCATCCAACAATATTCCAAAGGCCAGCTTTGCTGAAACCACCTCACTCTGTTTCTGTTTTGGCATCTCCTTCTGCCGTGTCTTCGATTTCAGTTCCTTGCGGTGAATCCATTTCGTCTTCCTCTTCAGTACCGTACGCAACCTTGGTGTGGTGTGCGGCTATATCAAAAATAGCCTCGAACTTACCGTTGTACTGTATGCCTTCATCTCTGCAGAGGTACTGCAGAATGAGCACGTCCAGATTCTTCAGCTCGTGCATGACGTGCTTCTCAAAATTCAGCTGTCCAACAACTCCGATGGATGTCGAAATCTTCTTCTTGCTTATCGACGCAGGTGTCTTCCTTGGTGTCGAGATCTTCGTCTTGGCTTTAGCCTTGGAGCGTGCGAGTCTGGAGGTGAAGTTCACCGGCTTCCTCGTCGCTCTAGGAGTGCGTTTAGGCGGCAACTCCATAGGGGGGCTGTCCTCGAAGACGGGTTCCTCCCCTCGTTTCCTCTTCTCAGTGATACAGAGGTTGCGAGTCCGAGTGCTCAACTCTTCTGTCTCAATACTTCTACCGCTGCTCTCCGATCCTGACCTTGCAGGTTGCACCACCTTCTGCTTACCCCGCGCCTCCACAACACAGAATTCGCTGATGGCCTTGAGAATCTCTTGCCTCACGTCTTCACATACATCATCCCTCAATTCCCCTACACGTACCGCCACCTTAATGTCCATTTTCTTGTTAATATCCTCCAATCGTTCTGCCTCTTTCCAGGCTTTCTCCTCCTTCTTCTTCTTCTTCCGTTCGACCTCCATTCGATCCGCCTCCGCTCGATCCTCTGCCTCCTCCATTTTTCTGCATTCCTTGGCGGCTTTTTTCTGCTGCTCGTTCTCCACATACTGGCACACCGCTGCCACACTCTTTCCAATCTCCACTACCTTCGAATGGATAAGGTCACTTGGCGTCATGTGCCACGGATAACATCGAGGCGACACCGACCCATCCCGCCGGGAGTCCGATGAAGTCGATGCTCTGGCACTCGATTGTCTGCGCGGGTGCGGACATTGGTTAGCATAGTGTCCGGTCTCGTCACAGTTGAAGCATGTTATGGGCCAGCGTCCTGGCCTGAGGTCATAACCACCCTTCTCCCCTTGATACTCACGCTCGTCACTTCCGTACCCTCTTTGATCTCCATGTCCATAGTCACGTTGGTCACGATATCTGGCCATCGGATGCCGTCCGAGACTCCGTTGGTGAAGAACGCGGTATCCCTTCAAATTTGGCGGCACAGTCACTCCCAACTCTTCAACGTGGTTGCAAAAGCGCTCTACCGGCCCTTGCCGTCGTCCGATCTAATGTAACCGGTAGCAATTAGAAACTGTAACACTCCGTAGCTTCGTGATTGTATACGTGCTCACTTATCCCGGTAAGGAGACTCCAAGATAGTTCACACGCGACTTAATCAGTGTTGATGGATTCTTTCTTACACGTTGCATTTGCACGTAGAGTAAGTCAAAACACAGGTCAAAAATGAGGTCGACAGACTAATGTCTTTCGACATCGTTGTAAACAAGCAAATTGACAAAGTACAATCATTAGAATATTACGGTACAACCATCTGTCCACACACCCTAGGAACTGCCGATACGTTCCACAAAACCTATGCTCGTCGTCCGCTAGCGCTACTATTAGCATTCGCGGGGTCGAGCGGCCCGTAAGAGGACTAACTAATCGTACTTACCGTAATTATAGGTGTAGGTCCGTCGCAAAAAGTACCTCATATCGGCTACTTCCGGTACTTATAGGTGTAGGTCCGCCCCAAGACTTTTCCCAAAAGGAGAACAACACTCTGATATCGGCTACTTCCGGTACTAGCTGGTAGAGCTATCGGGGTGGCTAACTTAGTCCGGATCAGTCGCAGGCCCGAAGGTATCCGAAATAGTAACGGTTCGAATCCCTCGCCCAGATAAACCTGAAAGCTTGCCCTACTGTTCTAGAAAATCACTCACAATCACTAAACATTTTACAAATTCCCCAGCTAGCCCTGTCCGAAAATCAAATAGTGAGCCCCGTCTGATCATTGGTAAAGCACCGTAGTAACTAACACGCGTTCCAAGCAAATGCTGAAAAACACCTATTCCTAAACCACCGCTAACCTGAGAACCCCTCAACTTCTGAATCCACTTGCTACAACTATGAAATTCACAGATTCTACCCGGTTCAGCCCTGTCCGCATTACAAAGCAAGTGCTAAATTCACACATTCCCAAACGATATCATGAAAACCCTTATCTCCACTCCCTAATTCCTCAATCAAGTTTCTGTGAAACCATGTAAACCATAAAAACCCATGGCTACCGTTCCTAGCTTGCAGCGAGCATCATCACGGTCTGCTTCCAGATCTCGTCTTTGCAGAAAACAAATCCTCGTAGAATTCTCCTAAAAAAGTCCATAGGAAAGTCTTTAATCCTCAACTCGCGCATCTGTGAGAGTACTCGTCCATGTATTTCGTTGTAGATTGACGTATTCTGTTCAATACGATGCAAGTAACTACTAATAGTAGCACTCTTCCGCTGTTTGCTTCCCCAAGATAAAAAGGACTGCCCGTTCTGGAATTCCAATTCCCCAACAGACCATGTGCTTGGTTAGTTCCGTGACCGTTGAACACAACTTAGGTAAGGATAAGAGCTCTTGCACCGTACTTCGCATCCCAAGAACTCCACGATACCTGAACGAATTGAAAAATTGCCAAAAATGGCGGTGTTGAAAACGTGCCGCCTCACTCAATAATTTTAATTATTTTTTTATTTTTTAAAATAATTTTTAATAGCTTTATTTGCTATATTTTATTTTGATTTCAAATTTGGTAAGGAATTTGGATGTGATGCGCACGCAATATTGTTTATTTTATTTGTCTTCATAACATATTATTTTTTCATATTTTTTTTTTTTTTTTTTTTTTTTTTTTTCCTGCGTTCGGCTTGAACGGCCGAACGCATCCCAAGGAGTTCCGTATGTTTGGGCATTCGGGTTCGGGCGGTTGGCCCATGCCGAACGTCGGCTACCCTAAATTCATAGGTATTTCAAAAATTTCTTTGAATTTTGAAATTCTAAATAGTTTATTTTTGCAGATTTAAAAATTTGACAAATATTGTAAAGTCGAAAATAATTTTTTTTGGGTCTTTAATATTAAAATTAAATCCTTGTTAATTCTAAAAATTTCGTTAATATATATATATATATATATATATATATTAAAAATCATAAACGATTGTCCTACCCCTACCAACATGTTTTGTAAGTAGAATTTCCAGATATCCGGTGGGCCTCGAATAATCCGGTTAATCTGGCTGGAAAAAGGCCCTCGGATATTATCAAAAGTATATTTTTCGGGGTCTGCGCAAGATATGCGCAAGGCTCGAAAATCGCATTTAGTTGTGTGGCGGGGTAGAGGGTGGCAGCCTGAACACCCTCCCGCTTTCAGATTGTGAAGGCAGCCTACCATTTTTGAAAAAAAAATGACCTGCTCTAAGTCGTTGATCGATGATGATCCACGGCCCAGATCGGGCCTTTTTTTTAATTCGAAATCGCACAGCCCCGGTTGTGTACTGCGCGCAGTGTAGTGGCCTGCTGCCCGTCCCTCCCCGCCAGCGGCCTGCTGCTCCATTGCCGTGCTACGCGCTGCTTGACCCCCCGTGCTTCAGAGATGATGGCCAGCTGCCTCGCCTCCCCGCTGCTTTGGAGCGGAGTTATCGCCGCCGCCCTTGAACGTCATCGACGGGAGCCTCCTCCTCCTCCTTCAAGTTATACCCGTCCTCCCCCTTAACCCCACTCCACCTCCGCCTCGTCTTCCTCCTCGTCTTCCTCCTCTTCCTCCTCATCGTCGCCGTGCTCTCATCCTTCCTCGTTGGCCTCGGCCCTTTCCTCCTTGTCTTCCTCCTTTTTCTTCTCCTCCTTCTCCCCCTCCTCATCGTCGTTGTGCTCTCCCCCCTTCTTGTCCTCTTCTTCCTCCTTCTTATCCTCCTCTTCCTCCTACTCCCCTCGTCCTGTGTTGTCGCGCGTTCGTTGAACCCGAGTTCCGCGTTCGTTGAACGCGGGTTCCGCGTTCGGTTTTTGAATGCGTTGAATGAGCGTTCAAAAAACGTGGGTGCACGTTCTGAACGCGAATGCTGTCGCACTTTTTCCAGTCGGGCCTCCTCGGGCGACCGGAAAGCCAACAGGCTGTCACGCAGGATTTCCGATGTGATTGCAATAAATTAATTAATTAAATAATGCAAACCCCTTCCTGTTGTGTGCGTCCGGCTTCGAGCGAGACCCTTCAATTGCGGTCTTAGCCGGTCCCCGGTCTTAGGAATCTTTTATTTTGATTCCGAACAGTAGAGAATTATGCAAATAATAATCATAAATCATGGGGTGCTATGCATGCATCGATTATGTCATTCTAATTTTGAGAACTATGACAAAACATCCACGAAGGCAATACTCAAGCAAGAATAATGCAGAAAATAAGACTGACTGACTCGAGCAAAGACTGGGGCAATTGAGAGAGGGAAGAATAAGAACTCATAATAATCTCAGAAAGTACACATAAACGAGCATGGCCAGCACCTCTCAAGAGTCCTCACTCATCCCTCTGGTCAGTCTCTCTCAATCTCTCTTTTCACTGATCTTCTCTGATCCCCTGACCCACGTCCACATACAATCTGAGACTGAGGCTTCCTGACAAAATGCCACCTGTAGCCAGCAAGCTCTGAGCATGACCATTTGAGGCACATGACACGGTAGTTAATCATGGAGCAAAACTCCTCCCATAAAGTAGGCAGTCCGTCCACTGAAAAGACTCCTCGTCAGAGATAGGGATACTCGGTAGGCTCAGTTAACGCCTCAATGTCGATCACCGTCGGAGAGATGTACCTCTTTGCCAATCCAATCACATCCAGCCAACTCGTGCCATCTGTGAGAAGTGAAGGGACTGGAGGTCTAGGATAATCAGTATAAAACATCGGCCCAAAGCTGCGAAACAACGTAGTGCCACTCTCATCGAGCTCCCTCTCTCTCTGCTCAAGATATTCAGTGGCCGAGATCCAGACTGGATCAAAAAGCTCATGAGTCTCCTTGCCCTTCTTCAGGTAAGGCCTCAGATCGTGGATAGTGCCATCAACAAAGCTGGTCTGGACAATGAAGATTGACAGGTCTCCCTTTCTGAAACCAAAGGCACCAACATACCGGTAATGGAATGCCTCTTTGCATGAAATCCGGTTAAGGCTGGCCAGTACTGACTCACTGACCGGAGCAGACTGAACTATGCTCATGAGTACTCTTGCCCGTACAAACTGACCAAATGATCCCTGAGAACTGACAGCCAAACTGACTGCAGGAGACTGATTGCTGAAAAACTGATTGCTTAACTGATCACTAATAATAACTGATTGCTGAATGTCTGGATAAAGTAAGCAACACCTATTCCAAGGCGAAATGTTGACTAATGGCTGCCAACAATCCTCCTCGCTTCCTCAATAGTACCCTCAGAAGTCATGATGGCACATAGTCTCCCATCCTTGCCGTGCAGGAAGTATGTGTACTCAATTTTAGTATGGTTTCTCACGAGGGTCAGTGCACGTCCCATCATCACAATAGTCTGTTGGTTGTACTCCTTAACTACACTTTCCCTCCAAGTCTCTTCAACACTCTGATACAGCGAGCAAGAGACTCTAACTGTGTTGGTGCTGCCCATATTCTCGCTAAATTCTCACTACATCGAATCACCAACTCGAGACGGGTGACTCTTGGATGATCTAGGTATGAAAAACTATTGAGTTGATTGCTGAACTGCTGAGAGCTGCTGGTTACTGATAACTAGCCGTTGTTTTCTGAGTGTTGTATCTTGATGCTGATCAGGAAACTGAACGCTTGCTGATTCGACTATTGATCGGATGATTGTCGCTCTGATTATTGTTTCGTTGGTGACTGATCTGATTGCTGATTTGCCTACTAAATTGATTGTTTGGAGCTTAATATAAGAATTGAATACTGAGAACCAATTGCTGAGAACTGAGTACTGTGAGAACTCGAGAGTGGTAAGCTTTAGGTACTGCTAAGCTCACCCGAGCTTCGCCTTGGCCATTACCACGCTCTCTAGTATAAAACCGGTGCCATGTAGCTCGTTGTCAGCCCCGTAGAAATAAACTACATACTCAATGTACTTCTTTTCACCAGCAATTCCCACTGCATACTCCCTCTGTACTTGCATGTTGTTTTCCATGTCTTTGAAGGCCTCTTCCTCCCACCCCTCTCTCTTTTCTCTTATTAATGTGTTTTTCACCACTAGGATCTTGTTATCCTTTATGCTT